TCGCACTCAAGAAAACTCTGGGAAGCTGTGGGGGTGGTGGGTAAACGCCCCACAAATCTTGAACGGTAAATAGCCTCTGCATGGTTGCCTTTGTAGGGATAGTATATCAGAAAGGAGGGGGGTCACACATTCCCAGTGCTGAGCCCTTTGCTGAACTGCAGACAGAAACTGATGTCTGCACTTGTCCAAGACCAAGACTTAAAGAACCAAATGTCCAGTTCAACTACTGGGAGGCAGACAGGAAGCAGCTCCTTAGAAGTCTCTTCAAGAATCATAAAGACACTGGGTGGTGGCGGCACACACCAGCACTCAGTGACAGAGGCAGGTGGATCTCTGTGAGTTTTAGGCCAGCCTGATCTACAGAATGAGTTCCAGGATAGCCAAGGCTATACAGAAAAACCCTGTCTCAAAACAAACAAAACAACAACAACAAAAGCCCACAAAGACAGGACAGTCCTTGGCATGCCCGCTGCAGATGCCAACTTGAACTCATTTTCCTACTTTTTCATGGACCACTTTGTGACTTCAGGATGTAACGCCTTCAGAGACAGCATCTGCCTCTTGGGCTTCATTCCCTTAGCTCTAACACTTTGCAGGACTGGCTGGGAAGCCCCCTCCTCTTCACTGTGACATCAGGCCATGCCAGGGTTAGTGGAAAGAACCTGGACTGAGTTTCTCCATTGGGGGCGGGGGTAACTTCCGCAATGTTAGTCATGCTTCATTTAACTGGTAGGTGGTTTTTTTTTTTTTTTTTTTTAATTTGGGCTACATGGGGGTGGGGTGGGAACTAACTTAGTGGACAATAACAAGCAAAAAAGATTAAATGAAAGAATAGAAAACATCAGGGTGCTATTCAGGTGCTCTGGGGACGTTTTCCTTTGGATCGTGTGCATGTTGTATGCTGAGAAGTTTCTCACACTTTAAATTTTGAGCTGGGAATGGTGGCTCATACCTGTAATCCCAGCACTTGGGAGGCTAACATAGAAGAACTTCCATGAGTTTGAGTCTAGCCTGGGCTACAGAGTAAGTTTCAGACCAGTCTGGGCTACAGTGAGTTCTGGTCTCAAAACACAAAAGGATCTAAATTTTCATGGGCTGTATTTTTTAAAATATATTTAGTAAGTAACATTATTTTAGCTATTATTTTATTTATTATATATTAATTATATTATATTATATTATATTATATTATATTATATTATATTATATTATATTATATTATATTATATATTATATTATATTATATTATTTAGCTATTATTTTAGCTTCATGGTAACTTCATAAAATGGTTTGGCAGAAAATCACTTAAGCTTGTGTGTGTGCTTGTGTGTGTGTGTGTGTGTGTGTGTGTGAGAGAGAGAGAGAGAGAGAGAGAGAGAGAGAGAGAGAGAATGTCATGGCCGTATGAGGTCAGAGGACAACTTTTGGGAGTCAGTTTCTTTCCTTCCATTATGTGGGTTCTGGGGATCAAACTCAGGTCTCCAGGCTTGTACAGCAAGTACCTTTATCTGCTGAGTCATTTTGTCAGCCTGAAAATCTGTTTTTTTAAGGTTGCCAAAAAATTTGTTTAAATATGTAAATAGGCCTCATCTCCTATTATGTCCTTTAGTTGCTGTTTATCCTCAAAAGAGAGCCAAAATACATTTTCATGAAAACAGGTTTAATCTTGGTAATCTATGACAAAATGTGGAGTAAACAACCGAGACTCAAGTCAGTGTCTAAGAGACTGGAACAATCTATGCAGGAGTTACGGATAAGCAAGCTACAGCTTATCCTTAGATATCTTAGCCTATGTTATAGGACTTTAATGTCTAGGGCAATAGAGTTATGAGAACAAAACAATAATAGGTACCCTCCACCCAGCTTTTTGAGTTAGCAGGGCACCCCAATCAATAGCCACACAGAAACCATAAGGTAGCATAGATCAAGATGGTATCAGGGCACATTAAGGTGGCATGGCATGCCTGTGACATCAGTGCTTGGTGTCATACTATTGGAAGGGAAGTCTTCAAGTCAAGGCTAGCCTAGTCAACACAACGTGTTCCATATCAGCCAGCACTACATAGTGTGACTCATGAGTGAGACTCAATAAAAGCAAAACAAAACAACATAATGGGGGAAGAGAGGGAGAGGAAGAGAGGGAAGGGGAGAGGGAGGGGGAGGGAGAGGGAGGGAGAGGGGTGAGAGATCAAGAGAAGACAAGAGCCAGGTATGGTGGGACATGCCTACACCCTATCATTTTAGTACTTAGGGAGCTAGAGGTGGGAACATCAGGAGTTGAAGGTTAGCTTCAGTTACGTAGTGAGTTTAAGGCCAGCAGGGCTGACGTGGGACCCTGTGTCAAGATAAAATGAAACAAAACAACAAACAAACAGTAGAACAGCGAGAAAGGCAGGATATTCCGGCTGCTTGGGGAAACTTCAGTGTCCTTTGTACGTATCTGTATGAGTGCGCGCACACAAATCTGTACACATACCTACTAGATCCTCCTGTAAAATGCCATGCTTACTATGGCTCCCAGCCAAACCTGCAAAGGACCAAGAGAGACAGGAGAGCCAACTTGCTCCTGCTGTGAGTTATACACTTCTGATACTGCCTTGGAGAAAAGCTACAAAAACCCCCAGGTTTTGAAAGGGTCTTATCCACAAGGCTGGCACAGGATTGAAATAAGAGCAAATAAGTATGAGGACCTACCTGAGTCTGTTGTGGCTTGGCTGTGGCTTGTCCCCTTTGTGTTCATGTGGGGGAAGCTTAGTCCTCAATGGTGACACTGAGGGACAGTGGAAGCTTTGAGAAGTGTCTAATGTGAGGTGATGAGGTCACTGGGGCCATTGCCCTCGGAAGAGATTAATGCAGTTCTCCTGAGCCCAGTGTCAGTCCTGTGATGGGGAGTGGTGGTAAAGGGAGGCCACCATACACACTTGACCCCTCTGCTCATGTCCGCTTCCCTTCCTGATTCTCTGCCAAGTCATGATGTAGCCAAGAGGATGTTCACCCGAGACCAAACTAGTAGGTCAACTGCTCTGAGTCTTTCATCTCCAAAACTGTGATAGACTCCTCATTAGGAAGCCGACACATCCAGAGGGGGTCAGGTGACCTGCCTGCTCAAGGTCATCCAAGGGAGTTAGGAATGAGGACTTTCCACCCAATATCATGCTTCTTTTCTTTCTATAATTTGTACTCTATCTCATTTTCTGATTCCACATACAACATTCAGCATTTAAAAATACTAATACAATAGTAATAATGATGATGATGATGATGATAATGATAATAATAATAATAATAATAATAATAATAATAACTTCCAAACCAGATACAGCAGTGCGTGCTTATGATCCTACCTCTCTCCCAAGAAGCAGAAGCAGGAGAGTCACAAGGTTGGAGCTAATCTGGGCTAGGTAGTGACACCCTGTCTTTGAAAATCAAAGGCTGGGGATATAGAAGCTTAAAATATAGAAAGCTCTGGGTTCAGGTCCAAGAATTACTGAAAACATAAAAAAAATCTTTAAAAAAGTCTATCATAACTGACCTTTGGCTCAATATCAGTATTCTTTTCATTTTATTATGTGTGCTATATGCTTGTAGCACTGACTTGTAATCATGATATGAATGAATTCTTGAAATGTCTCGCACTAAGATTACCTGTCCTCATTCAATACAAATTACATTTATGTGGCATATTACAGCTTATATGCAATGTATATTATACACTAAATAGTAATAGTAATAGTTACAAAGGTAAAGAGAAAGAAAATAGCTCTCCTGAACGTCCTAGCTTGCCGAATGCAATGGAAACCATTACCTGTGTAAAGAAAGGTGTTGGAGTGTCCTCCCACCACAATGTCCACGCCTTTCACTTTCTGAGCAATGAGTTTATCCATTTCAAAACCAGAGTGTCCAAGGGCAATGATTTTGTTCACATTTAGAGTTTTTAGTTTATCTACTTCAGGTTGCAATGCGGTGACTTCATCTTCAAAGACTAAATTTGTCCCTAAAGAAGAAAATGAGTAAAATGGATATTAGAATATTTTCACTGTACTGTTTATACACCAACACACTAAGCATATTAATTTCTTATTAAAGCTCTCCAATTACGGAGAGCAAAATGTATGAATACATCTAGTACAAAAGCCCTGGCAAACAAGGAAAAGTTTAAATCAATGTCATTGACTGCATTCACCTAATATTGCACTGGGTTAAAGTTGTAGATGATATATATACACATTTATTTTTGTGTACACATATATGTCACAGTGTATGCATGGAGGTCAGAGGACAATTTTCAAGAGTTGATTCTCTTTGCTCACTATGTGGTTCCTAGGGAATGAACTCAAGACATCAGGTTAAGTGGGGAACACCTTTATCTATCTATTGATCGCTGTCATTGGGCCATGTATGATATATTTGCATAAACTCAATCTCACACTATGAGGATACTTCAGATATGGTTTGCTTCTCTCTCTCTCTCTCTCTCTCTGGTTTTTCAAGACAAGGTTTCTCTGTGTTGCTTTGCACCTTTCCTGGAACTCACTCTGTAGACCAGGCTGGCCTCGAAATCACAGAGATCTGCCTGCCTCTGCTTCCCTAGTCCTGGGATTAAAGGTGTGCGCCACCACCGCCCTATCTCTTTTTAAATCTAGACCATCACAATAACCATGCCAAAAAGTGTCTGAGCACAAAAGTATGGTGTCCACAACTACTTTTAATTCCATTGCTTCATTTATAAACTTGGAATATTCTGTCTTCAAACCTAAAATGTCAACAAGTAGGCTTTGAATGCCAATTTCAAAAAGTGCTTTTTACATTTATTTATTTGGAGATGTATCTGCCATGGCATGCTGTGGACATCAGTGAACAACCTGTAGGAGTCAGTTCTCTCCTTTTGCCTTGTAGGTTCCCAGGACTGAACATCAGGTGTGGTGGCAAGTGTCCTTACTCACAGAGCCATCTTGCTGGCCTTTGAAAACTAACTTAAGCATGGTAGATAACTACTCACTTGCAGGCAGGGTAGAACTGAGTGCTGTAAAGCTTCATCTAAATATTGCTGGTCCTGGGCTGGGGTACATACCTCATGGAGCCCACTCTGCCACTCAGTGCTACTAATGAGTGCCAAGGCTCTGGCTAGCACAGCCTGGGTATTTCTATGCTGAGACATGAACAGGGCCTTCCAGTCTGTAGCCAAAACTTAGCAAGTCCTTAGGTCTTACAGCTTTAGTGGTCATGAAGGGACCACAAACATGCTGTCCTGAAGTCACATCCAGCAGTTAATCTAGATGCCCTCATGTTAACTTCTAAGAACCAGCACTAAAATGAAGAAGTCCCAAATGCAAAAATCTCATAAAGAACATTCAAAATGTAAATCTGCAAAGCCCAGTATGAAAGTCAAGAGTTTTTCCAAACATCAGCAGACCACTAAAGATGCATCCCTTGTCCATTGCCATGCTCAGGAATCCACTTCCCTGATGCAACTCTTGAGTCCTGACTACATGCCAACTCCACACACATAAAGTATGGAAGATAAATCACAGCGATTTCTAAATCACTGGCCTGGCAGGGATGAAGTAGCTCAAGGCATCACTGAAAACATCAGGAGAGGCAATGCTCTGCCATCATTGTCTACTGTGGGAAAGTCAAGGCCGATCTGATTCTTGTCCACAACCCCAAGAGGCTTGGGGCTTCCCTGAACAGCCCTCAGCACTGAGTCTCTGTCAGAGTTTTTTTTCCCCCTGTGGCTGTGATAAAATACCCTGACCAAATCAACTTACAAGAGAAAGGGCTTATGTTGGCTCTCTCGCTCCCTCTCCCTCTGTCTCTCTCCCTCTGTGTCTCTGTCTCTGTCTCTTTCTCTGTCTCCCTCTCTCTCTCACACACACATATACACACACACAAATTTCATCACCTAGCTAAAATAAATTAAATGTGCTAGGTATCAACGTGCATGCTCCGACCACTAGACCTGGGAAAGCTGTGTTTTACTGGGGGCCAGAAGTCTATGGGATCTGCTTGTTCCAGGCTTCATTGAAATTTTGAACACACGGAATTAAGCAAAGCCACTGTTTAGTCAACACAGTCAACAAAGAAGTTCACTGAGCAGAGACGGTGACACCCTTCAGAGCTAACTTGGAACAACACAGAATCTGCCACCTTGGTTTGCTAAGCACCATTCTCTTTATACCACAGCCCATAAAAACATGGCCAAACTCTGCTTTACCAGATCTATTTCCAAGTCACGAATGCCGTGAAAGCAGAAGATACCTGGATTTGAGAGGAAGGGGGTTTCTTTTGACGTATATCCAACAATCCCAACAACCTCACCACCGACAGAAAGAACTTTATATGGCAAATACAGTCCGGATATCTGAGGTGCTAGCGACCCCTGTGCCTTAATATTTGCACTCAGGATTGGAAACTTGACCTTTCTGAGGAGAGGATCAATCAGTCCTTCCACACCGTTATCAAATTCGTGGTTTCCCAGTGCCTAAATGAAATGGAAAAGAAAAAAGGATTAAGTACCCTGCATTTTCTAATAAAAATATATTCTTAAACATATCATGTTAGCCCAGTGGCTCCTGAAATGGGTTGGGCTCTGAGAGACTTGACGCCATGTCCTGACGTTCCCCTTACCCTCAGAAACATGACTTGGGGGCCTTGGGCTAGGCCCAGGGACACCCTCAGATCACAGGTGGGTACAGCATTGCTGCCCAGGGCTCCCCATCTAGTGAAACTGCTGTGAATGTGTACATCTGCAACACCCTCAGCCAACATTAAGCTGGACATCACTGTCCCACCATCCTCTGGTCAGACCGCTTCCCAGACCACCTTTACCAGGGCCTTACTCGGCTTGTTCCTGATGTTTTCTGCAACTAGTCCACATGTCAGACCTAATCCTTCAATGTAGCACCGTCTGAGTAAAATGCTGAAACCCCCAAAGCCTCTTTCATCATCGCTTCCCTGGCGTTATTACACAAGTTCTCACAGTTTCTCTTCTTAAGGACTTCTCCAATTCTTTTGGGGAATCAGGACTGACAGGGAGAAGTCGCCGTTACAGTGGGTGTTGGCTTCCTGCCGTAGTGAACCCCAGGTCCCCCTGCACTCTGAGCACGTTAGAAAGTGAGGAAATATTAAAGGTAAGTGGAAAGACAAAGAAAGCTCTTCCTCTGGAGCCCGGTGGAGCCTCCTGCCAGCTGAGAACCAAGTATTTCAGCACAATTAACATTGGCCATGAAGGTTGCTGACAGAGGAACAATATTCTTTTTGTATAGAGAAAAATTTGTTTTCAAATGGCAGTGTTAAAATATCAACGAACCGAGCTTAAGGCTTGCTCTTACCCCTTCTTAAGTATTTTCTGGCAATCTCCCAAATAAGACTAAAACTTTGTTTATAGTAAGAACAGCTTAAGGTTCCCTATAGCCCTTGTGACCTAGTGTTTTACCTTGTCAGCACTAATCCTAGCCAATACATATAAGAACCACCCTATGATCTCATTCACCCAAAAAGAAAAGCTTCTTTAGCTCTCTTTTGAGCTGCAATTTCAGAAGCCACCAAAAACAGTATGTGTGGCTGCTGTAATGACAAGGACATCTCTCTCTTGAGCAGCCCACACCCAAGGGTGTATACCCTCCTCCTAAGCACCTCTCTTTCTATTAACACCCATGCTTACATCTACGTGGAACTTTCTACCTCATATGCTACAGCCCTGCTTCACACTGGGTTGTCCTCAAATTCTTTTCTGTCTTTATCTGAGGAAAGGTCTCTGAAAGGAACCTCTCAGACAGCCACAGGCAACTGCCACTGACAGCCTTGTTTTAAGCACCTTGAGGTGCATGAGTGGTCAGGCCCCACCCCTGAGAACCTCCAACCACCAGGCTCCATACACAGAATACTCGAATGTCCATAAGGGTTGGACCCAGCCCCTCCAGATGCAGGTAGTTAAGCTTCACCCTACAGAGTAAAAAGACCAAGCTCAGGATTTGAAAACCCACCAATCGCCACCCTGGAAATCTGTTGTGGAATATTTGTTTAACTAGGCAAATGTGTGTTACGTTTGTTTATGCTGCCTTTGTTAACAATGTAAAGGTGTGTTACTTTTGTTTACGCTTCATTTGTTTAATTATGAAAAGATGTGTTGCATTTGTTTCACCTTGCCGTTCTACAGCACCTGAGAGGGAGAGACATGATTGGCAGGCAGAGAGATTAAGTAGGAGGAGAAAGCTAGGCTTGTGGGGGTGGAGAAGAGAATGAGGGAGAAAGAGAGGGACATGCCCGGGGCCAGAAGCCAGGCAGCTGCCAGCCAGCCAGGAAAGTAGGACATACAGAGAGAAAGAAAGAAAGAGGGGGGGGGGAGGAGGGAGGAAGGAAGGAAGGAAAGAAGGAAGGAACGAAGGTAAAAAAAAAAAAAACCCAAGACAAAAATGTAGATCAAAACAAACAGATTAAAATAAGAGCTAAGCTAAGGCCGAGCATTCATAACTAATAATGGGTCTCTGTGTCATGATTTGGGAGCTGGTTGGTGGCCCAAAAAGAAAGCCTGCTACAGAAATCTCCACCTAGAAATCTCTTCACCCCCTCCCCCAACCAGAAACCCTGTCTTCTGATCAGCTCTCTGCTGCTTCTCCCCTGAGCAGAGGTAGCCACCTGTTGCTGGAGGGCTTCTCTTCAGGTTCCCCAAGCCCGGCAGTCCCACAATCCACTTATAAAATAATCACTCAGACGCTTATATCACTTATAAACTGTATGGCCGTGGCAGGCTTCTTGCTAACTGTTCTTTTATCTTAAATTAACCCATTTTTATAAATCTATACCTTGCCACGTGGCT